TTAGAACTTGCAGTGGTAGTACACGCTTTGATGATATGGCGACACTACTTGTATGGACGAAAGTGTGATATCGACACAGATCACAAAAGTCTCAAGTATTTCTTCACACAGAAGGAATTGAATATGTGACAAAGACGATGGTTGGAATTGGTGAACAATTACGACTGCACTATTCACTACCATCCTGGTAAGGCTAATGTTGTGGCCGACGCTCTAAGTAGAAAATCAATGGGACAATTGACGTCAGTACCCACCTCTAGAGAGGAGTTAGTCAAGGACTTGGAAAAGTTGCAGATCGAAGTGGTTACCACACCAGGACAAGTCAATGCTCGTCTAACAGCTTTAATAATTCGACCTACTCTTAGAGATCAAATTATAGAAGCACAAAATAAAGACTCATTTTTGCAGAAGATTAAGAATGAAGTTGGTACCGATAAGAAAAATGACTTTGGAATAGCTGAGGATCAGGCACTAATATTTAGGGAAAATGGAGAGTGATGCAACGAGCCTATAGAAATCCGATGAATAAGTGATTTGGATTTATTTTTATGAAATGTTTTCCAATGTTATTTCTTTAACGTTTTGAATAACGCAGAATGCAAGAACAAGTTATGTTTTCTTCAAATAAATTACATTTTGTTGTTTTACAAAATGATTCAGTATTTTTGTTTAAAGTATTTGAAGTATTGTTATTTAAATTATTCTCCGAAGATGTAAGCTTCCGCTAAAACATATATACTTGTTACTAAACCACCGGTTAAGCTAAGTAAAGTAAGTAGCGTTCCGGTCCACTAAGGGTCGGGGCGTTACAAAAGTCTCCAATTCTTTTTATTACGTGTTAGGAATATCAAGGGCAGACAAGTGGAGAAAAGGTGATGTGACATTTGCTTTGACCACATGCTTTTATAATTGGGGGATTTGTTTAGAAAGTCTAGTCAACAATAATGTTTGGTAAAATAGGCTATGGTCAATACTTTTTGGTTAATTAGCCTTTAATCTATTTTATCATGTGTTAAAAATCTTAAACACCCTTCATTTGAAATATTTAAAATATCCAATCTGAAATAAAAATTTACCAAATCCCCCAAACTTAAATGTCCATTTTCATTCTAACTTTTCTTGCACAATTTAAAACCAACGAGAAAAATGGCATACTGCCTTTTAAATGATTGATTGCCTTTTTAACTAATTTCATGTTTGTATCACTTTATTTCTTTGTATCAACATAAAAATTAATTAAAACAAGTTTTAACTATATTTCGAGTGCTATTGAGTGTCCGTGATCCAAAACGACATGATGTCATTATAAACCATTTGATGACGTTTTAACTAAAGTAAAAAAAAACTCACTAATTTATAGTGAAATCGAGACCCCATAATCCAAAATGTCATGCTGCCGTTTTAAATGATTGGGTGTCGTTTCAAATAATTTTGTATCTGCCTCACTTTATTTTCACTCATATGCATATGACAATGGACAAGTGGAAGTTTTCATTACATTTGGACCCGAATAATGATATAAAGTTCATAGGATAATGATCAATATTATTGTTCCGTGAATAAACTGAATTAGATATAACTACAAACGTAAGTAAGTTAATTCCAATTATATTTTAATTATGAGATAAGATATTCAGTAAATTGCCTCGTTTAAATTGTATAAGTCTTTTAAGATGTTCCAAGTCTGATCGACTCCTTTTACAGTAATATCAAGGCCCCGTCATCCAAAAAAAATGATGTCTTTAAAAGGCTAAATAATTTAAATTCCAATTATGAGATAAAATACTCCACAAATTAGCTCATTTAAATTGTGTAGGCCTTATATGATGTTCCAAGACATGATCGATTCATTTTGGAGTGAAATCAACACCCTATAATCCAAAATGTCATGATGCCGTTTTAAATGATTGGGTGTCGTTTCTACTAATTTCGTATCCGCTTCACTTTATTTTCATTTGTATACACATGAAAATGAACTAATGAAAGTTTTCATTATATTTGTCCCGAGTATCAGCATAAAATTCACGCAATAATGACCAACACAATTGTTCCATGAGTAAACTGTATTAGATTTAAATATGAACGAAAGTAAGTAAATTCCATTATATTCTAATTATGAGATAAGATATTCAACAAATTGGCTCGTTTAACTTGTGTAAGTCGTCTAAAATGTTCCAAGTCTTATTGGCTCGTTCTAGAGTGAAATCAAGACCCGTGACCCAAAACGGCATGATATCAATGAAAATGTTAGGTGTCATTTCAATTTTTTTTTTATTCATTTCACTTTATATTTACTCATATCCATATAAAATGAATGAATGCAAGTTTTTACTACATTTGAATATCGAGAATCCGTAATCTAAAACGCTACCATTTTAAATTATCGGTTGTTGTTTCAACTAATTTGATATCTGCTTCACTTTATTTTCACTCTTACGCACATGAAAATGAGCGAATGAAAGTTTTCATTGCATTTGAACTTGAGTATCGCTATAAAGTTCACGGGATAGTGACCAACAATATTGTTTCATAAGAAAATTACACTAGACGTTACTGCAAATGAAAATAAGGAACTCCAATTCCATTATATTTTATTATGAGTTAAAATACTTAATAAATTAGTTCGTTTAACTTGTAAAAGTCTTTTTTTGCATTATTCATATCCATAACCACTTCAAAGTTTAATGATGAAAACTTCAACTACATTTCAATGCTACCGTCGACACATTGATTCAAACTATAGCAAGTCACTCTATAATCTAGTTGGAAACTACACTATATGGCACTTGACAACAAAGAAAAATGTAAGTAACAAGTGTGGTATGCAACACATAGCACGTGCAGTCGTTCAATGTGTACAAGTCATGTATGATACTTCAAACATTGTTTTACTAGTTTCGGAGTGAAATCGATATCTCGTGACCCAAAATGGCATATGATTATTTTAAACGTATGGTTATCATTTAGGATATAGGGTTTAGGATTTCGGGCTTAGGATTTAGGGTATATGGTTTAAATGTGTGGTTGTCGATTAATTTTTCAACATTTATAGTCTTGGATGATATTCCAAACATTGATTTACTAGTTTTGGAGTGAAATTGAGACTCTTTGACTCAAAATGGCATATTATCGTTTTACTCGTAGGGATGCCATTTAGGGTATAGTGTATAAAAAATATCGAACGCATAATCATTCAACAGGTATAAGTGAAATTCAGACCCTACTATCCAGAACGGCATGTGATCATTTTACAAGGAGGATTGTAGTTTAAGGTATAAAAAATATAGCACGTTTCAAACTAAAATCGACCTCTCATCTAAAATTTTGATAGTTCTATTTGTTCGGACCTTAAATGATATCTTGTCATTTTAAACGTATGGGTGCTATTTCGGGGTTAGGTTTTAGGGTATAAATAAACAGCACATACAATCATTCAACATGTACAACGTATCTAGAATGTTCCAAACATTGTTTTTACTAATTTCGAAGTGAAATCGAGAACATGTGACCCAAAATGGCATGTAGTCATTTTAAACATATGTCTATCATTTTTACTAATTTCATGTTCATTTTGCTTCATTCTCGCTCGTATCCACATGAAAGTGAGAATGAAATTTTTAACTAGAATTAGATGTCACAGTCCACACAATGTTCAAACTAAATTAAGTCACGTCATATATTCAATTGGAAACTAGACTAAGTTTGACTACAAAGGAAAATGTAACAAGTATGGTATATAAAACATAGCATGTGCAATCATTCAACTTGTACATCTTATCTATGATGTTCGAAGCATTTGCTAGTTTTGAAATGAAATCGAGAGCCTGTGACCCAAAATGGCATGTCATTATTTTAAACATATTGTATCATTTTTGCTAATTTTACGTTCATTTCACTTCATTCTCGCTCATATTCATGTGAAACTGTAAGAATGAAAGTTTTAACTAGATTTGGATATCAAGAACCAAATTGACTAGTTTTGGAGTGAAATTGAGACATGTGACCCAAATTGACATGCTGTCTTTTCAAAAAGCTACGCATCGTTATTAACTAATATTATGTTCATTTCACTTTATGTTCACTCCTATCTACATAAAACTTAACGAATCCCAATTTTCACTATATTTGGACGCCACAATCAATACAAAGTTCACATGATAGTACCAACACTAGTGTTTCGTGAGTAAACTACAATATGATTTACTATGAACGAAGGTAAGTAACTCAAATTTTGTTATATTCCAATTATGAGATAAGATATTCAACAAATCAGCTCGTTTAACTTGTACATGTCTTGTAAGATTTTCCAAAATATAATCGACTAATTTTTGAGTGAAACAGAGACTCTAGAACCCAATGCGGCGTAAAGTCTTTTTAAACAGCTATGTGCCGTTTTAATTAGTTTCACTATCTTGTATTGATGAATTTAATAAAGTTCGAATTAATGTCGTTACTAGTATAAATATACTAAATTGCTTGTCAATGTATCAAACTCTAAGTAACAACTTTTGGTTGAACAAGGTTCTAAATGTAAAATATTTAAAATTCAACTCGTTTCACTAAATTCTCTCAATGTAAAGCCTCAACGGTCAAAATTGACTCTTTTCATTCTAGAACACATTAGCCAAACTTTGCTCACTACTTTCATACAAGAAAAAGACATACATTTTTCAACATTTTTATACTTCCATTTCTTTCCCCATATCTTGTATGACTCAAGCAATTTCAACGATCATTTGAATCAAAACCATCCTTCAGAATCATGGTTTGATGACTAAAAATTTTCATTTCAGAACGTTAAAAACAAAGATACAACACATAAAATAGCTAGGGAACATCCGCTACATTTTTCTTAAAATTCATTTTAAACCTTGAGATAGAAATAGTCATTCCCAAGTCCCCACTATGCATATTTTAATTTATTGACATCTCATCTCAATCTTCAAGTTCTCAAAAACAAAATTACATCAAGAAAATAAAACTATACTTCTAAAACTTAATTTAAAAAACAAACTTCCTGATAACAATACAACACGAACCAAATATTAATTTGTACAATATGTGAAACTGATAGTTGAAAACTTATCATGGATGAATCTTAAGCTACATCTAGCCTCCACAAAATAACTGAACCAGCCATTTTTCTACCCATCAAAATTGTTGAACAAACTCTTTCCATAGTAGTATTACTAGATGAAAGGCAAACATAATTGATTATATTGCGAATATCTAACAAAAATTGAAGAACCTAGAATGTCATATAGCTTCAAAAACTACTACCATGTGGTTTTGGGGACTAGAGAAAACTAAACATAGTCTGAATCCACTTTGAGCTGAAAATTTAACAAAAAAAAAAAAAAGATTGATGATTAGCATCATTGCCTCGCAAAAAAATTAGTTGGCTATATGAGAAGGCACCACAAACATACAAATGTAATGTAAAGAACCATACTGCAAATTGTTCTTTATAATGAATAACATCTACTCATCATTCCTAAGTTATTCTTTGAATCATTTTCACTCATTCCTAAGTTCCTTTCTTTTGTAACACCCTATCATAGACCATGAAAAATTAAGAAGCAATTAACAAGTTACTGCAGTTTAAACAAAGCAAATATAATATGCATACTAAGCTATAATATCTGGTATAAAAACCAACTCCCAAAAAAAATAAGAAACTATGCTTCCACAAAATGAAATTCATTTGATCCCTTCGAGAAAAATAAGAAATTATAGTCAATTTCATGTCAATGAATGGCCAAACAAAAAAAGTTCTAGAATGCACTCAATGGTTAAAAAAAAAAAATCTCATCTTTTCAATTAGCTTCAAACCAATTAGAGTTAAAACACATCTATAATTATTTGAAATCAAGAAATTAAACCCAACAAAAAATAGAAAACGAATTTGAAGCCTCAAACGCCAAATAAAACTTCATACACCCAAAATAAATCCAAATTAAAATAATTTGTAATTACTAGAACCAAAAATTATGAAAACAATAGGAAACCAAAAAAAAAGAAAAAAAAAAAAAGAAATACAAAGCACATATTAATATACACTTAGAAGCAAAAGAATATTTACCTAGGGATAACTGAAACCTTCTTAGACATAGGGGCACGGTATGAACGGCCATAGAGGTGGGAATAGTGGTAGTAAAAGAGTTGACTTTGAACAAATTTAATCAACAAAAATTATAATGCAGTGAACTTGCAGTAAGGAGTAATTTATTAATTCTAAATAGAAACCAAATGAAAATAATTAGCTACTTACATGCTTAACTAAACCAAATTACCCTTTCATCAAATCCCAAATGCATAATCTAAAAGAAGCTGTATAATAAGAACGTGGCAATTCAAAATAAAAAGAAAATATGAAACTCTGTAACTTTCACCTGATGTAGCCGAACCAAGCACCCACTAAGCCAAACCATGTGAACTCGGAGGTCCAAAAACCTAAAAGGGATAAATTCTGAACCGCATTCAACCTTCTTCACAACAACTATTCACTCATTCTTGTAGTAGATATCAATGTTGTGCTTTCCTTCAAAACCCTCCACAATCTTTGATGGTGGTGGCTGTCAGCCTCACAGAATTCATAATAGCAAATTGGGCCTATTATCATCCACAAATAGGGAATTGGTATTTCATATACACACTATTATCTCGCAAACATACCTGAGAAGAAGGATGAAGGAGATGATGAATTGAATGTGAAAGGAAGGAGACGAGATTTTAATTTGGGAATGGATGGGTACTTTGAATTTTGTTGTTTTGTTTTGCTTTAAGGGTGTTTTAGATAGTTTGTATTTTTAATATTAAAATATTTATTTTAATTTTAATATTTTGGTCAAAGGCTATTTTTCCAAAAAAAAAGACATTATAAATAGGCTATTCTACCCAATTTCCACTTTATAATTTATGGAAATGTCACGTAAAACTACATAAAGTTAATCTTTGACATGAACGAAAGAGTAAAAGCATATCCAGTCAATTTCTAACAATGAAATCGGTAGGAAGAAAAATAACATTTAATTCAAAATTCTATTTAAAATGCAAATTACATATATTCATCTGCAACAAAACATGTACGAAAATTTAATTATAAATAAATGTCTTTTGCAATAAACGTAAAATAAGTATAATTACGTGCTAACTTAGATCTTTATCCCACGAAACAAGGCACAAATGCACTGTCGAACCACCATGCTCCAACACGACCCGATCTAACCTATGAGGTGTAGGGAAAATGGTAAGTACATGAAAATACTCAGTAGGATATAAAAATTAATGATGCGTTCCCGTATAAAAAATTTTAAACACGTGTCAAAATATCATACTATCTGATATCTTTAAAATTCGGTAAGAGCTCATGTCATATCATATTATATCATTGTACCGAAAATGGTCATATCATAACTTTAACTTTCATAAGTACAAAACTCATCAACATGTAAAAAAATAATTAAATGGGACATAGAGTGCTGTACCTTGATATCCTACCTTGTTAACTTATTTTAATTTTTGGAAACAAAACAAGAATCTTGTTCCCCCCCCCCCCAAAAAGTGCCCCCCCCCCCCCCCCCCCTTTTTCTACCTCTATTGTCGCTGTGAGCCGTGCATAAATATTTTTATGTCCCTTTTCTTGTGTAATGCGATAACGTACATAGACAGATATACTTTAAATTCCAAAGGATTAGTGTAATGTGGGGGAGACGTGTAGAAGTGAGATAGTTATGGATAAATGGGAGGAAACGTAAACTTTGCAACAAAATATCTAAGTCTTGTTATCCAAAATCAATGCACTATAGTACACCGTACACGTGGTGGCATCCTTGCAATCCAAACTTTTAGTTGAAAGGAAAAAAACAAAAAATCAATTCTTATTCACTACTACTCACGTGCTCAGCTTTCCATAACTTTCTTTTCTTTTTTTTCTTTTTTTAAACTATATTTAATAAGCAAATCAATCACAAACCTACCAGCTGCCAAGCATTTTACACTTCAACTACTCAATCCAATGCATACTCAATTAATAATAGGAATAATAATTTAAGACTATATCTTTAGATCTCGATAACTTAGGCTCCAATAATTCAAATTAACTTTTTCTAGAGTCTAACATGCATGATTAATTACAATCTATCTAACAAGCCCAATATTTATATATTTATTATCGCTCCATCACTATCTACATTTTATCCCAAATAAAATTGAAATTTACTTTAAATATACTTTAGTCCCTAAACTTTCAAAATATTAAAATATAGCATACAAACATTAAATTCCGTTCTACCAAAATTTTCGGGACATTACACTTCACTTCGATGAATGCCGGGAAATCATGTGATAGATTAACGAAGTTTGTATGCTTTTTTTCACTAATGACTAATCATGCAAATATAATGAAATTTAGAGGCTAATTTACTCCCTTCCAAATGTGGACATTGAGAATTAATGGAGATGTTTCCCCCAGCACTTATTAGTTGACTTCTTATCATAGTCGGCAAGACGGCAAACGTTGTTCTCCTAAAAAGGAAAATACATACAGAAATGGAAGCAGAAAATGTCGATAGAGGGGCCAACTTAGCTGCATTAAACCGACTTATTTGACTATAGTTAAAAAGAAAATAAATGCTAAGCCTAGCTCATTGTGTACCACGTAACTACCACCAATAACCACAATCCCCATGTACTGTTATTCCAAATGTGACAAAATTTTATTTAAAAGTAAGTTTCAGGTACATTAAAGCTGACCGATTACTCTCTGCAAAATAAGCTAACAATTCTAAGATATTAGCCCCAAAACTAAATACACACCTTGAAGGCAATAGGAATCTTCTTCAAATAGAGTGACAGAAAAGAAGCATGTTGTCTTCCTCTTTCATTTGGTACACAATCATAGTAGTTGCAGTGCTTTCTTTCCTTCATGGATCAACAAAGAAGAAGAAATTACCCCCAGGTCCAAGAGGTGTCCCTATTTTAGGACACCTTCACATGATAGGCAAAAATCCCCACCAAGATTTACATAGGATAGCCCAAAAACATGGTCCGATTATGTACGTGCAATTTGGGTTTGTCCCACACATCATAGTGTCCTCCCCTCAAGCAGCTGAGCAGTTTCTTAAGACATATGACCTTGTTTTTGCAGGAAGACCACCCCATCAGGCTTCTAAGTATCTGTCATGGGATCAAAGAAACATCGTGTTTGGGACGTATGGCCCTTATTGGCGCAATATGCGAAAATTGTGTACCTTAGAGTTGCTTAGCAGCATTAAAATCAGTTCTTTCCAACCAATGAGAAGGGAGGAGCTTGGCCTCTTGGTTGAATGGCTCAAGCACGCAGCACTTGAATGCGTTTCGGTTGATCTTAGCGCAAAGGTTTCATTTCTAACCGCAGAAATGAGTTGTAGGATGGTGTTTGGTAAGAAGTACGAGGATAAGGACATTGATGAAAGAGGGTTCAAAGTTGTGATTCAGGAGGCAATAAAATTGTCAGCCATGCCTAATCTTGGAGATTATTTTCCTTTTCTTGGAGTTCTTGATCTTCAAGGATTGACAAAGAGAATGAAGGCGCTTAGCAAAGTTTTCGATAATTTCTTTGAGAAGGTTATTGACGATCATGTGCGAGATGGGGACCAAGGCAGAACCAAAGATATTGTTGATACCATGATGTCCATTATGCAATCCAGAGATACTGAGTTCCAATTTGATCGTCGTCATGTCAAAGCCATTATGCTGGTAACATGTCGTCAAATACTTTATAGTTATCATTTCTCTGCAATTTTTAGAGTTATATAAAACTATATGAATCCAAATGACACCTTAGGTAACAGAATGTGATGAAAATGATTCATTTAGTAAATCCAAGTTCATTGAAGGTAAGAATTAGTTTCTCCTTGTCACGGATTGTTGAACAAATAAATTTAATATCAGTCCACCCTTCACAAATCAAATTGACTGTTACAAAATATTTTGGTGTCCGCCACATACCCTTTCATATTTGCATCGCTCGTCAACTGAGGCAAGGCACCACATATTAGAGGTATATTTACAATAGTTTCCTTGTATAGACTTATTATATTGCGTAGAATCGGGAATTATTCCTATTGTATAGACTAATTAGAATTTCCTTATATAGCTATGTAATCTCTATAAATTAAAAGCAATATACATTAGAAAAACATTCAGCCAAAATTGTATTAGAGCCTGAAATTCTATTTCTTGAACCTGTGGTCGTAGTCTTTGATGGAATTGGTTCAAAAATAATCTAAATTGATTAAATAAAAGTTGGAAAGCGTGACAAGGTGTCAAATTTGATCAAATATTTGGACTTGATCCGATGGTCAAAATATGAAAGTAAATAGATAAGTTTATTCTACTTGTCGAGTAGATCGTCGTAGTATATTTGAAGTCTTAAAACCAATTCCGAATGAATGAGAAATTGAAGTCCAAAGTTGAATGGAAAAACGAGGAAAACTGGGTAATTAAACCTTATATGTTGCCCGAGCGACGCTCGATCGAACAGTGAGTGACAGTGGCACTAATCGAATAGTGGCCTTTTCGCCCAAGCAAAATTCTAGCGAAAAGCTAGCGAAGTCAAGTGGTGTTTTGGTTGGAAAGATCGCGAGATTTGCCTTACATTTTTTCACCCCCAACCCTTCATGCTCTAGAAATAGGGGCCTAGGGACGTCCTTTTCCTCACACAAATGATATGCAATCAGAAGCATTTCATTTTCTCTCCTTTCTCAACCAATCTTTGCATATACGTTGCTTATATTGGTTTTCTTCATAATTTTGCATTTTGGGAGTGCTACTCTACTTCTGGTTCGACGTACTTGTGTGTTGAAGTGTTGCTCACATAAGAAGAAGTTGTTGTATCTTGGAAGTCGATTGCCGTAAATTCGTAGGCATCGTTGAGGAGCAAATTCGACTTGAAGACAAAGTGTTCAACACTTGCCTACATTTGTTTGACATTATTTGCTACATATCTTGGCTTTATTTATAGTCGTTACTCTGCCAAAATTTTTGAAGGATTTTACTAACATTTTTAGCCGTTATTCTGTCAGAATTTCAAGTGATACAAGGCGTTCGTTTGTCACTCCATGCACACCAATCATCCAACAATCTTAAGTCAAATTTTCTGTGCTTTTGGTTTGTTGGGGTGATTTCTCTTCAGTTAAACTAGTTTAGTTTAACTTCCTCTACCCTTCTTCTTGGTTTGGTTGATCTTCTATTTTCTGTAATGAATACGGTATTTAATACCAATTCTGCTTCGAATGAAACATCGAACATGGGAACTTTGGAAGGAGTGTCCCTACTATCGTGGCTACTACTCCAGTTGTGGCTACACCTACAAACTCTGTTCCACATGGAGAGAAATCGGGGGAGTTAATTGTGATTGATTTCAATAGAAGTCAGCAAAAAATGTTGTTCTATCTCACGAAACTCAACTTGACGAAATTCTTAAATGAAGATGCTCCCGTCATGTAAAAAGGGGAAAACAATAGGGCACCGCTTATTGCGTTAGATGCCTAGAAGCATTCAGATTTCTTGTGCAAAAACTACATTCTGAATGGGTTGGACAATGCATTACACAACATATATAGTTCCAAGAAATTTGCAAAGGAACTATAGGAATCCTTAGAAAAAAATACAAGACTGAAGATGCCGGTTCTAAAAAGTTCATTGTGGGAAAGTTCTTGGACTAGAAAATGGTAGATTCCAAGACCGTCATCAGTAAAGTGTAGGAATTGCAAGTTATACTTCACGATATTCATACGGAGAATATATCTCTAAGTGAATCGTTTCAATTGACTGCAATCATCGAAAAACTCCCGCCTATGTAGAGGGACTTCAAAAATTATCTCAAGCATAAGCACAAAGAGATGAATATTGAAGAACTTGTAATCCGTTTGAGGATTGAAGAAGACAGTCGAAACTTGAACAAACGTGTTGGAGATCAGTCACTACAAGCAAGTGGAGTCGAATGACAAAGGGAAGAAGATGAAGCATTCTACGGAACCCTCAAAGAAGTTCAAAGGCAAATGCTACAATTGTGCGAAGGCTGGGCATTGTTTTGTTGATTGTCGCAAACCGAAAAAGCAAGCCCGAGTAAATATCAATGAATCTGATGCATTGTCTAATGGCATGCCAGATATGAACTTGTCGACCATTATTTTCGAATGTAAAACATTTTGGAAATCCCATGGAATGGTGGATTGACACGGGGTACTACCCATCACATATGTGCCGATAGAGGAATGTTCACTACCTATACTCCAATCGAGGGAAAAAAATTGTTCATGGGAAATTCCTCAACTTCAAAACTGGAAGGACAAGGCAAAGTTATATTAAAGATGACATCGGGAAAGGAACTTAGCCTCAGCAACGTTCTTCACGTGCCGTATATTCGCAAGAATTTAGTATCGGGTTCTTTGTTAAGCAATAATGGCTTTAAGTTAGTCTTTGTGTCGGATAAATTTGTTCTCACAAAGAATAACATGTATGTAGGCAAAGGCTATGTAAAAGATGGACTACTCAAAATGAATGTCCTAACTATTGTACCAAACAATGCAATGAATAAAACATCCTCTTCCACTTATATTGTTGAGTTATCTAATTTATGGCATCATAGATTAGGACATGTGAATTATAACTCAATACGAAAATTGATAAACTTAAGTGTTCTTCCTAACATGCATTTTAATAATGAAAAAAATTGGGAAATATGCATAGAGACAAAATTGGCCAACACTCTGTTTCAATCGGTTGAACGAAATACTGTACATTTGGAACTTATTCACACGGACGATTGTATGAGATACTGTTATGTATACTTGTTAAAAAGTAAAGATGAAGCATTGGAAGTGTTTACACACTATAAAACTGAAGTTGGGAATCAAATTGGAAAACAAATAAAACTGATTCGTTGTGATCGAGGTAGAAAATACGTTGCTCCATTTGAAGAGTATTGTGCAGATTCTGGAATTATTCATCAAACTACTACACCATACTCACCTCAATCTAACGAGGTTGCTGAACGAAAAAAATTGGACCCTTAAGGAAATTATGAATGCAACGTTGATAAGTTCGGATTTACCTCAAAACTTGTGAGAGGAAGCCTTACATTCTGCAAATCATATCCTAAATAAAATACCACATAAAAATAAGGATGAATCGCTTTATGAACTATGGAAAGGTCGTAAACCTTCCTACAATTTTCTAAAAGTGTGGGGGTGTTTGGCAAATGTGCAAGTACCAAAACCTAAACAAACAAGGATTGGACCTAAGACTATTGATTGTGTCTTTATTAGATATGCTATGAACAGTAGTGCATACCGTTTCTTGGTCCACAAATTCGAAGTGCTTGTCGTACATAAAGGTATATTGTCGAATCAAGAAATACTGCATTCTTTGAAGATACTTTTCCATATAGGAAAAGGACACAAGTTTGCATAAACGAACATATGATACTGCAATTGGAAACCATAATGAATATGGCGAAAATCTTCAAATAAATGAAGAACCAAGGTACAGTAAAAGACAACGAATTTCTATGACATTTAGTCCAAAATTTGTCACTAATCTATTAGAAAGTGATCCTAGGACATTTGACGAAGCAATGTCCACTTCGGAAGCTCTTTATTGGAAGGAAGCAGTAAATAATGAAATTGAGTCTATCATGAGCAACCACACTTGGGAATTGGTTGATCTTCCTCCGGGAAATAAACTGTTAGGTTGTAAATGAATCTTCAAAAAGAAGCTGATAGATCAATTGACAAATACAAGGTTTGATTGGTGGCCAAAGGTTATAGACAAAAGAAAGGTCTAGATTTCTTTGATACCTATTCACCAGTAATAAGGATCACATCTATACATTTCTTGATTGCAATCGAGGCATTGCACAATCTTGAAATATATCAAATGGATGTTAAAAATACATTCTTAAGCGGTGAATTAGAGGAAGAAATTTATATGGAACAATCTGAAGGGTTTGTTGCCCCAGAAAACGAAAAGAAGGTGTGCAAGCTTGTCAAGTCATTATATTGACTAAAATAAGCACCAAAACAATGACATGAGAAATTTGACAAAACAATGTTGTCAAACGGCTTCAAAATTAATGAATGTTACAAATGTGTCTACTTCAAAAGCACATATAATGACTACATAATAGTATGTTTGTATGTTGACAATATGCTAATCATGGAAAATAACTCGAATGTCATTTCCTCGACCAAGGAAATGTTGATCAAACACTTTGACATGAAGGGCATGGGAATAGTAGATGATACTAGGGATAAAGATCTCTAAAACACATGACGGCTTGTCATTGTCTCAGTTTCATTATGTTGAGACTATACGTAATAAATTTAAGACGCATGACAATGAACCAGTTAAGACACCAGATGATTCGAACATACACTTAGCCAAAAATACTGGTGATCCCGTGTTACAATTGGATTATTCACGCGATAAGGCAATTTAATGTACATTACTAGCTACACGCGTTCGGATATAGTATATATAGTCAACAAGTTGAGCAGATTTACAAGTAATCCTCTTAAGACCCACGATTAAATATGGATTACACTACTCAAGATATCCTGCATCATTAGAAGGATATACCAATGCAAATTGGATATCTCAAGTTTTCTTCTTATATGACTGTCTTCTTAAGCCTCTGTGATCCTTCACCTACGATATCAAATTCTTCACCAGATGATCTCCCATTTTTTGTCACTCTTCGTCGCACCTTTCACGTTTCTCGACCACTAGATAGGTATGATTTTTCTTTTCCGTAGCCCTATATCTGCTACCCTTAACTCAATTTCCACCCCTACCTCATATAGACAGGCTATGGAACAAGAGTATTGGCTACAGGCAATGAATGCAAAACGAAGCTAACTAAACGATGTTGTACCATGTCCCTCAACTGCAAATCCCATTGGAAATAAATGGATATATTTAGTCAAACTTCATTCTGATTGTTCTCTTGATTGCTATAAGGCTCTGTTGGTTGCCTTCGGTAAACGCCAAGAATATGGAATCGACTATGATTAGACATTTGCTCCTGTGGCTAAGATAACAACTATTCATCTCTTGTTATTGCTTGTCGTCCTCAATCTTGGTCTTTACATGAGATAGATGTAAAGAATGTGTTCTTACATGGAGAACCTAGGGAAGACATTTTTATAAAACTTCTATCTGGTATGCCTCTTCCGTCAATTGACTCTGTATGTAAGCTAAAATGCATTTTGTATGGTTTTAAGCAGGCCCCTCAAGTTTGGTTTGACAAGTTACACAGCACTCATTTGGATTTTTCCTTTACTCGGAGTTTGTATGACGCATCTCTGTTCTTTCATAAGAGTACTGTTAGCATTGTTTTTTATTGGTATATGTGAAAGATGTTATTTTTTGGATCTAATCACAATCTTATTCAAAACTTCAACAACATGTTCTCTCGATTTTTCATATAAAAGATTTTGGTCACTTCACTTACTTGTTTGGCTTAGAGGTTCATACTACTCGTCATGATATCTTCTAAAATCAACATAAATATATTTAAGATTTGATTAGATTGACTGATCTATCTGAAGCCTCCTCAGTTAATATTCCGTTGGAGCTTAATGTTAAATATCTAAAAGATGAAGGTGATATTCTTCCAAATCCTAATCTATATCGAAAGTTGTTGGGCAGTCTCATCTTTCGACCTATCACACATCTAGATATTTCTTTTGCGGTTTATACTGTGAGCAAGTTTATGGACGCCCCTCATCATCTTTATTTGGTAGCTCTCCATCCCATTATATGCTATTTTATTGAAACTCCTCATCGCAATCTATTCTTTCCTCGGGGGACGTCTCTTGAGCTCACCACTTATGGTGATGTTGATTGGGCTAGTTGTCTAGATTCTCGTTGATCTACTACTGCGTTGTGTATTTTTTTGGCTCTCATTTTTTGGAAATGTAAGATACGGGACTGTTTGTTTGAGTTCCCTACTGAGACAGAATATTGGGTTATGTTCGCTGCATGTTCAGAAGTTGTGTGGCTACGTGGCCTTCTTACAAAACTTGGTATTTCTCAATCACAGCCTACAACCTCCATGGTAATAACACTAGTGCTATTTCCAGTGGTTTCCTTGTATATAGTTATAGACTAACTAGAATTTCGTTATATAGCTATGTAATCTCTATAAATTAAAGGCAATATACACGAGAAAAGCATTCAGCCAAAATTGTGTCACCACAGGAATTTTTGCCGCATTTTCCTTGCTAAATTATGAGTGTGTGTAGTTATAAGTACTCAGTTTCATTTACGAGTTAAATTTATCGTCGCAGGATATGCTTGCGGCTTCAATGGACACTGCAGCATCAACCGTCGAGTGGATACTTTCCGAACTCCTAAAGAATCCACAAGTAATGAAAAAAGTCCAGAAAGAGTTGGAAGAAGTAGTCAGCTTGGACAGGATGGTGGAGGAGTCGGATTTGGAGAGTCTAGAATATCTAGACATGGTCGTGAAGGAAACTTTTAGGCTCCATCCCGTGGCACCATTACTAATTCCTCATTATTCGCTGGAAGATTGCACTGTTGATGGCTACCATATACCAAAAGATGCTCGAATAATTGTTAATACGTTTGCACTTGGACGCGATCCAAATGCATGGACTGATCCTGAGAAGTTCAATCCGGAGAGGTTTGTTGGGAGTAGTATAGACCTCAGGGGACAACATTTCCAGCTTCTGCCGTTCGGCTCTGGAAGGAGAGGGTGCCCGGGAATGCAACTGGGGCTCATCATGGTTCGATTTATCGTGGCGCAACTGGTGCATTGCTTTGATTGGAAGCTGCCAAATAACATGTTACCTTCTGAGTTGGACATGACTGAGGAATTCGGCGTCGTAGTCGCCAGGGCAGAGCATTTGATGGCTGTTTCCACTTATCGTTTGCAAAAATATTCAACCTGAAAAGAATTCCGGGAATTTAATCGTTATTTTACGAATCTTCGTTTTCAGAACCTTTTTTTAATTCAGTAAAACTGGTAGACATGCAGCCTAAAGATTACATTATTCATCTGATACCAATAAAATCTGCCTTAAACTATGACCAGTATGTGCAATTTCTTTGTGTATTTGAACAAGAAGATGGGAGTCATCTTCGCTGCAAATCCCTGTAAGCCTTCATTATAAGTCTGATAAATTTGTGAACCGGTCTTCAATTGATCTTCTGATCATCGAATGACTCGATCATAGAACTATACCGTTCATCTTGAATCAAGAACTGAAACGGCCTTAAATGGACAGCTGTATGAACAAGATAAC